TGAGATGTAAGAAATGATGCAGGAAATGAAGAACGAAATAAGCAACCTGAAAAGAGAGCTGACAGCAGCAAAGGAGGAGATTAGAGCCCTCAAAGAGAATGGTATCGAAAGAAAACCATCCAGGGAGAAGGTGGTAATAGTCTTTTGAATGAGAATGCCACAATAAAAGCAACATTTGCGGAAATGCTAAAAAAAATAACTGAAGTAATGACTGCAGTGATGGAGGTGGCCATGAAAGCAGCCACCTCACAGGAGGCGGCACGCTCCACTAGCCAACTGCTGGAAAGGAAAAGATCAGTGGTTGCTGTGGGTATTAAAGAGCAGGAAGGCTCTAATAGGACAGAGTGGAATGACAAGGACAAAGCAGCAGTGAATGAAGTACTAAAGGCACTAGACATGGAAGGGGCTGAGCATAGCATTGAGAAGGTTTTCAGGTTAGGTTGGTACAACAAAGACCGAGACCGAATGATAAAGATAGTGTTTGCAAACGAGAGCACAAAGGAGAAGATCCTATCAAGGAAGAGCTCCCTGAAAAACGTGGGAAAATTCAAAAATGTATTCCTCCAGAGAGACATGACAAGGGAGGAGAGAGCCGTGGCGGCAGAAGCAAGGAAGAGGCGCAGGGCGAGAGGGGAAAACCAGGAAGTCACAGCTCCCAACACAACACCCCCAGAGGCGAGGGGGAACCCACAACCAGCTACCCAGTAACACCAGAAGGGAGGACAACCCCGCCACCCTCCTCTGCATAGAAAACCCCCCTACCCCAAACCCTCCCTGCCCCTACTCAAATGTTCAGCCAAATCTCCCTCCCCTCACACCCAATCCCCACCCTTCTACCCCTCCCCTCCTCCCGAGTCCTCCCTCCCCCCCTTTCCTTCCCGTCCTCCCTTCCCTTTCACCCCATACCCTCCCTGTCCCTCCCCTTCACTGGATCCCCTGCCCCTCATCCCAGTATCCTCTGAGACCCTGTTATCCACCTCACAGGTCCTCACACCCATGGAACAGCCTCCCCCACCAGCAGAACACTCACCAAGGAGGCGATTTGAGAAGGGACAGAAGAAAGTGAGCCTCAAAGCGATGTACACTAACATAGATGGAATTACAAATAAAGCAATTGAGCATGGAGAACGGGTACTAGAGGAAAACCCAGACATAATAGCCCTCACAGAAACAAAGCTCTCGAAAACGATAACAAACACAGTGTTCCCACAGGACTATTATGTTATGAGGAAAGAGGGGGAAGGAAGAGGTGGGTGGTGTAGCTCTGCTGGTAAGAAAAGGCTGGGATTTTGAGGAGATGGATATTCAGGGCTGTGAAGGTTTCAGTGACTACATAGCAGGTACCGTAACAAATGGAGGGAAAAAAAATTATAGTCGTAGTCATATATAATCCACCACCAAATGACAGAAGACCTAGACAGGAATATGATAGAAACAACATGGCCACCATTAACATAATAGAAAGAGCAGCTTCTGTTGCTAGCAGGAATGGATCTGGACTACTAATTATGGGAGACTTCAACCATGGGAAGATAGATTGGAAGAACAGAGACCCGCATGGAGGACCAGAAGCATGGAGAGCTAAGCTGCTGGACGTGGCAACAAGACACTTCCTAAGCCAGCACATCAAAGAACCAACAAGAATGAGAGGAGAAGATGAACCAGCAATGCTTGATTTGATATTTACCCTAAATGAGTGGGATATAAGGGAAGTTAAGATGGAAGCGCCCTTGGGAATGAGTGACCACAGTGTATTGAACTTTGAATACCTGGTAGAGCTAGGACTTATCTCCCCCAAAAAAGAACTAGGAATCAAAAGGCTGGCATACCGAAAGGGGAATTATGAACAGATGAGAAGTTTCCTAAGGGAAATACCTTGGGACACAGACCTCAGAGACAAGTCTGTACAGGGTATGATGGACTATGTTACCCGAAAGTGTCAGAAGGCAGTAAACAGGTTCATCCCGGCCGAAAGGGAAAAATCCGAGAAGCAACAGAAGAATCCATGGTATAATAGGGCATGTATGGAAGCGAAGGAACTGAACAAAAGGGCGTGGAGGAACATCCGGAAAAACAGAACACCAGAAAGCAGAGAGGAATACCAGAGAACCAGGAATGAGTACGTCAGGGTGAGAAGAGAAGCAGAGAAAAGTTTTGAAAATGATATAGCAAACAAAGCCAAGACCGAACCAAAGCTACTCCACAGTCACATCAGAAGGAAAACAACAGTGAAAGAACAGGTATTGAAACTTCGAACAGGCGAGGACGGGTATACTGAGAATGACAGAGAGGTGTGTGAAGAACTCAACAAGAGGTTCCAGGAGGTCTTCACAATAGAACAAGGTGAGGTCACTGTGCTAGGAGAAAGGGAGGTAAACCAGGTGGCCTTGGAAGAGTTCGAAATTACGAGAGAGGAGGTCAAGAGACACCTGCTGGATCTGGATGTTAGAAAGGCTGTTGGTCCAGATGGGATCTCACCATGGATACTGAAAGAGTGTGCAGAGGCACTTTGCTTGCCACTCTCCATAGTGTATAGTAAGTCACTGGAGACGGGAGACCTACCAGAAATATGGAAGATGGCGAATGTGGTCCCAGTATACAAAAAGGGCGACAGGCAAGAGGCACTGAACTACAGGCCAGTGTCCTTGACTTGTATACCATGCAAGGTGATGGAGAAGATCGTGAGAAAAAACCTGGTAACACATCTGGAGAGAAGGGACTTTGTGACAAATTGCCAACATGGGTTCAGGGAGGGTAAATCTTGCCTTACAGGCTTGATAGAATTCTACAATCAGGTGACAAAGATTAAGCAAGAAAGAGAGGGCTGGGCGGACTGCATTTTCTTGGATTGTCGGAAAGCCTTTGACACAGTACCGCATAAGAGGCTGGTACATAAGCTGGAGAGACAGGCAGGTGTAGCTGGTAAGGTGCTCCAGTGGATAAGGGAGTATCTAAGCAATAGGAAGCAGAGAGTTACGGTGAGGGGCGAGACTTCCGATTAGCGTGAAGTCACCAGTGGAGTCCCACAGGGCTCTGTACTCGGTCCTATCTTGTTTCTGATATATGTAAATGATCTCCCTGAGGGTATCGATTCATTTCTCTCAATGTTTGCGGACGATGCTAAAATTATGAGAAGGATTAAAACAGAAGAGGACCGTTTGAGGCTTCAAGAAGACCTAGACAAGCTGAAGGAATGGTCGAACAAATGGTTGTTAGAGTTTAGCCCAACCAAATGTAATGTAATGAAGATAGGTGTAGGGAGCAGGAGGCCAGATACAAGGTATCATCTGGGAGAGGAAATTCTTCAGGAGTCAGAGAAGGAAAAAGACTTGGGGGTTGATATCACGCCAGACCTGTCTCCTACAGCACATATCAAGCGGAAAACATCAGCGGCATATGCCAGGCTGGCCAACATACGAACGGCATTCAGAAACTTGTGTAATGAATCATTCAGAACTTTGTATACCACATATGTCAGGCCAATCCTGGAGTATGCAGCCCCAGCATGGAGTCCACATCTAGTCAAGGATAAGACTAAACTGGAAAAGGTTCAAAGGTTTGCCACCAGACTAGTACTCGAGCTGAGAGGTATGAGCTACGAGGAGAGACTACGGGAATTAAACCTCACTTCGCTGGAAGACAGAAGAGTTAGGGGGGACATGATCACCACATTCAAGATTCTGAAGGGAATTGATAGGGTAGATAAAGACAGTCTATTTAACACAAGGGGAACACGCACAAGGGGACACAGGTGGAAACTAAGTGCCCAAATGAGCCACAGAGATATTAGAAAGAGCTTTTTTAGTGTCAGAGTGGTTGACAAGTGGAATGCATTAGGAAGTGATGTGGTGGAGGCTGACTCCATACACAGTTTCAAGTGTAGATATGATAGAGCCCAATAGGCTCAGGAATCTGTACACCTGTTGATTGACGGTTGAGAGGCGGGACCAAAGAGCCAGAGCTCAACCCCCGCAAGCACAGCTAGGTGAGTACAACTAGGTAAGTACATTCCCTGCCCCCCCCCACCACCCCTCTCCCACATTCCCTGCATGATGCCCCGGGGGGGGGGGGGACATATAGGATATAGGCAGGCGCGTCAGAGATAAGAGCGTGTGAGCGGTGTTATCAGCGCGCGAGTTACGCCACCCCGATCCTCACGCAGTTGACCGTTGGCGGTGGTGGAGACCCGCGAGATATAGCGAGCGCCAGAGACCATATAGCGAGCACAATATGGGTGAGGATCCACGTGTGAAGGATCCCTACATGCCCCTGGCGGTGGATCTTGGCCTGCGGGTGAGTGTTCTGCCCCCGCCTAGTTCCCCCGCGGACAGGTTCGAATCCTCCTGCTGCTCTTCATGGTTCCTATACTCATGTTTCATCGTTGATTCATCACGATGATGAGGGCTTCTTGGTGTGTGTGTAAAGGGATTACCTTTAGTAATGTGGTCACATAATGCTGTGCCCAAGGGGGGGGGGGGTTGTATGATGTATAAATACATATTATATGTATTATATACATATAATACATTGACGGTTGAGAGGCGGGACCAAAGAGCCAGAGCTCAACCCCCGCAAGCACAACTAGGTGAGTACATCACCACTGAGCCACAGTGTATGGACAAACAGCTCGGACATCGGACAACATCTAGATGACGCTATCTTGAGGTTATCTTGAGAGGATTTCGGGGCTTAGCGTCCCCGCGGCCCGGTCCTCGACCAGGGCGGTCGAAGGAGCTGGTGGCTGAGTGGACAGAACACTGGACGCGTGATCCTGTGGTCCCGGGTTCGATCCTGGGCGCCAGCGAGAAACAATGAGCAGTTTCTTTCACTTTGATGCCCCTGTTACCTAGCAGTAAATAGGTACCTGGGAGTTAGTCAGCTGTCACGGGCTGCTTCCTGGGGTTGGAGGCCTGGTCAAGGACCGGGCCGTGGGGACACTAAGCCCCGAAATCATCTCAAGATAACCTCAAGATAGACCTCTTTTTTGTTACACATCCCCAGGAAGCAGCCCGGAGCAGCTGTCTAACTCCCAGGTACCTGTTTACTGCTAGGTGAACAGGGCCATCAGGGTGAAAGAAACTGTCCATTTGTTTCCGCCTCCGTCGGAGATTGAATCCGGACCCTTAGGACTATGAATCCCGAGCGCGGTGTAAGACGACCCCGAAGGTGTAGAGTGGTCTACGTTCTTGACTCATAATCTGGAGTCTTCGCTTGGGTTCCTGGCCGGGACAGTAATGGTTGGGCAGGTTCCCGGCCGGGACAGTAACGGTCGGGCAGGTTCCTGGCCGGGACAGTAACGGTCGGGCAGGTTCCTGGCCGGGACAGTAACGGTTGGGCAGGTTCCTGGCCGGGACAGTAACGGTTGGGCAGGTTCCTGGCCGGGACAGTAATGGTTGGGCAGGTTCCTGGCCGGGACAGTAACGGTCGGGCAGGTTCCTGGCCGGGACAGTAACGGTCGGGCAGGTTCCTGGCCGGGACAGTAACGGTTGGGCAGGTTCCTGGCCGGGACAGTAACGGTTGGGCAGGTTCCCGGCCGGGACAGTAATGGTTGGGCAGGTTCCTGGCCGGGACAGTAACAGTTGGGCAGGTTCCCGGCCGGGACAGTAATGGTTGGGCAGGTTCCCGGCCGGGACAGTAATGGTTGGGCAGGTTCCTGGCCGGGACAGTAACGGTTGGGCAGGTTCCTGGCCGGGACAGTAATGGTTGGGCAGGTTCCCGGCCGGGACAGTAATGGTTGGGCAGGTTCCTGGCCGGGACAGTAACGGTTGGGCAGGTTCCTGGCCGGGACAGTAATGGTTGGGCAGGTTCCTGGCCGGGACAGTAACGGTTGGGCAGGTTCCTGGCCGGGACAGTAACGGTTGGGCAGATTCCCGGCCGGGACAGTAACGGTTGGGCAGGTTCCTGGCCGGGACAGTAACGGTTGGGCAGGTTCCTGGCCGGGACAGTAACGGTTGGGCAGGTTCCTGGCCGGGACAGTAACGGTTGGGCAGGTTCCTGGCCGGGACAGTAACGGTTGGGCAGGTTCCTGGCCGGGACAGTAACGGTTGGGCAGGTTCCCGGCCGGGACAGTAACGGTTGGGCAGGTTCCCGGCCGGGACAGTAACGGTTGGGCAGGTTCCCGGCCGGGACAGTAACGGTTGGGCAGGTTCCCGGCCGGGACAGTAACGGTTGGGCAGGTTCCTGGCCGGGACAGTAACGGTTGGGCAGGTTCCTGGCCGGGACAGTAATGGTTGGGCAGGTTCCTGGCCGGGACAGTAACGGTTGGGCAGGTTCCTGGCCGGGACAGTAACGGTTGGGCAGGTTTCCTATCTGCTCATGCCAGCTAGAGAGTGAAGGTAGCTATTTTACTGGTATTTACTGTGAGTAAATAGGTAGTTACCTTTACCTAGGAGTATTTCCGGGGCTTAGCGTGGCCGCGGCCCGGTCGCCGACCAGGCCTCGTCGTGAGGCCTGACTCAGGTATTCCCTGCACCAAATTCTCTTAGCGGGGAGTTAGGGAACAACAGATGGGTTAAGAACATACTCACACACGCGGACATTCTTCTAAAGTACTGTTGTTTGGTCAGGAATGTTCATCTGGGGACGCTCACAATCTGTGTGTGGGGCCATGTTTGGGGCCCCCCGGGGCCCACACCACGCTCACTGCCCCCCGGGGCCCACACCACGCTCACTGCCCCCGGGGCCCACACCACGCTCACTGCCCCCGGGGCCCACACCACGCTCACTGCCCCCCGGGGCCCACACCACGCTGGCTGCCCCCCGGGGCCCACACCACGCTGGCTGCCCCCCGGGGCCCACACCACGCAGGCTGCCCCCCGGGGCCCACACCACGCTGACTGCCCCCCGGGGCCCACACCACGCTGGTGCCCCCCGGGGCCCACACCACGCTGGCTGCCCCCCCGGGGAACTAACATATGATAATTATGTAAAGGTGATACACCGGACGCCGGGCTTAATGTGGTGGAGACCGCCCCCAGGAAACACGGCCGGTGGCGGGGGTCCCTGTTGTATCTCCCCCTCCCCATTACTCCCCCTTCCCCCCCCCCCCCTTATCCATTCCCCCCTTCCCCTCCCCCTTGGAAACACCAACGACCATGCTACGTTGTTAGTTTAAACTTTTCCTTTTGCTGTTGACTACCTGTTGGAGTGATATTTCCAGCCGTCCTCAAGTTCCCCAGCGTCAGGAAAACGGCCAATTTAAAGTAGTCTCTCCTAACCTGCCACAGGACACGAAACAGAAAACGGGTCAATACGTCACTGTCGCCAGCCGCTTCCCATTTTCTAATAAGACACATTTTTGGCCCTAACGTTGAGTCTGGGGGCGTTTAGGGGGGGAGTCTGGGGGCGTTTAGGGGGGGGAGTCTGGGGGCGTTTAGGGGGGGCGAGTCTGGGGGCGTTTGGGGGAGTCTGGGGGCGTTTGGGGCGAGTCTGGGGGCGTTTGGGGCGAGTCTGGGGGCGTTTGGGGCGAGTCTGGGGTCGTTTGGGGCGAGTCTGGGGTCGTTTGGGGCGAGTCTGGGGGCGTTTGGCGCGAGTCTGGGGGCGTTTGACGCGAGTCTGGGGGCGTTTGGCGCGAGTCTGGGGGCGTTTGGCGCGAGTCTGGGGGCGTTTGGCGCGAGTCTGGGGGCGTTTGGCGCGAGTCTGGGGGCGTTTGGCGCGAGTCTGGGGGCGTTTGGGGCGAGTCTGGGGTCCTTTGGCGCGAGTCTGGGGGCGTTTGGGGCGAGTCTGGGGGCGTTTGGGGCGAGTCTGGGGTCGTTTGGGGCGAGTCTGGGGTCGTTTGGGGCGAGTCTGGGGTCGTTTGGGGCGAGTCTGGGGTCGTTTGGGGCGAGTCTGGGGTCGTTTGGGGCGAGTCTGGGGGCGTTTGGGGCGAGTCTGGGGGCGTTTGGGGCGAGTCTGGGGTCGTTTGGGGCGAGTCTGGGGTCGTTTGGGGCGAGTCTGGGGTCGTTTGGGGCGAGTCTGGGGTCGTTTGGTGCGAGTCTGGGGGCGTTTGGGGCGAGTCTGGGGGCGTTTGGGGCGAGTCTGGGGTCGTTTGGGGCGAGTCTGGGGTCGTTTGGGGCGAGTCTGGGGGCGTTTGGGGCGAGTCTGGGGGCGTTTGGGGCGAGTCTGGGGGCGTTTGGTGCGAGTCTGGGGGCGTTTGGTGCGAGTCTGGGGGCGTTTGGGGCGAGTCTGGGGGCGTTTGGGGCGAGTCTGGGGGCGTTTGGGGCGAGTCTGGGGGCGTTTGGGGCGAGTCTGGGGGCGTTTGGGGCGAGTCTGGGGGCGTTTGGTGCGAGTCTGGGGGCGTTTGGGGCGAGTCTGGGGGCGTTTGGCGCGAGTCTGGGGGCGTTTGGGGCGAGTCTGGGGTCGTTTGGGGCGAGTCTGGGGTCGTTTGGGGCGAGTCTTGGGGCGAGTCTGGGGGCGTTTGGCGCGAGTCTGGGGGCGTTTGGCGCGAGTCTGGGGGCGTTTGGCGCGAGTCTGAAGCCTAGCGAGGAAATCCGTTGATAAGTAGCCGTGTCAGGAGTGAACAGGTGCCGGTGACGGCAAATCTACTCCAGGAGGCATATATATACACCTGCACAGGCATATATATATATATATATATATATATATATATATATATATATATATATATATATATATATATATATATATATATATATATATATATATATATATATATAGGACCATTCTCACAATCGACTTGAGAATGGTCCAGGACGGACCGAAACGTCGTCGTCCCTTCAATTTCTAGTGTGTGGTCTGGTCAATATATATATATATATATATATATATATATATATATATATATATATATATATATATATATATATATATATATATATATATATATATATACACACACACACACCTCCACAGGCATATATATACACCTGTGGAGGCATATTTGTACACCTCCACAGGCATATATATATACACCTCCACAGGCATATATATACACCTGTGGAGGCATATATGTACACCTCCACAGGCATATATATATATATATATATACACCTCCACAGGCATATATATACACCTGTGGAGGCATATTTGTATGCCTCCACAGCAATATATACACACTTGTCGACCTTGCTGGGTTGAGAGGCAGCTGTGTGCATCTTAAATATGCCTGTGCCACCCTCCAGTGTCCGTGGGGAGGTGTCTAGATGGCTCTCCTCCTTCCCCAGTCGTCACGATGACTTGGGCTTGTGGGTTCGAGGAAGTAGGCCTGTGGGGAGTAGGCCTACTGGTGTATAGGTATTAGAGAGGGAGTGTGGAGCAGCAGCAGGAATGGGCTGCAGCTCTTGGGCCCGCCTGCT